GAGACGGTGAGCTCCATGCTGGTCGGGTTCACCGATGCGCTATCCCTGCGGACGCCCGAAGTCTCCGTGAGAGAGCGGATCTTCTTCTTCTAGCTCTCCTGCAGCTGCTTCACCTGCGGGACTGCGACTTCCATAGTCGTGAGCGCGCGACGCAGCACGCGTTTCCTGGCGTAATGGTCCACCAGCAAACCGAATATCACCTCGTCCGCCTCCACATCTCCGCTCTCGATCTCCGAACGCACACGCTCCTGCAACTGCTCCGCTTGAGTCGTCCGCTTCGCGCGCACGTACATCTGCATCATACTACGGTACGTGAACTTGTTGGGCTTGAGCTCGAACTTGGAGAACGTCTCGTCCATGAAGACTTCGGCCGAGCGAAGACGCAGCGCATTCGTGTACACGCCCAGCATCGAGTTCAACGTCGTCCGAGACGGCTTGAGACCCTTCTCGAAGGTCATTTCATGGAACCGAACCTCCGCACGCTTGATGTTGAGCGTCTGGAACTGGCCAAAGTCTGTCAAGTCCATCGGCGTCAGCTCAAAGTCCAGCGATTCCTCACTGTCAGCAAACAGCTTGTCGTCCTCTTGGCCATAGACTTCCATACTCCGCTCCGTCTTGACCAGTGCCGTCGACTCGGCCTTCTTCACTTCTTCGTGACTGGACTCATCCTGCTGACGCAACGCTTCCACTTGTGCCAATGCCTCTGGACTGAGCTTGTAGCTGTCCCTTTCGTCCCTTTCGTCCTCGTCCTCGCCCTCCTCGTCAAAGCGTCCATCGTAGTTGGCATTCTCCAGCGAGAACGTCTCCTTTCCTGGACGTGTCAAGTCGATTTCCTTCCCGTCGTCGTCCCATTCCAGTGGCTCCTGGTAAATGGGTTCAGCTTTGGGCAATGGCTTCTGATTCCGCGGAGCCTTGTCCACAATAGCGCGAAACTGAGCGCGTGCGTACACGTTAAACAGCGTGTTATACACGAACTCGGTCATGGGTACATGATGCCGTTCCATGTGTCGAATGATCTGCTCGGCTTGGATAAAGTCTCCATGCTTGGCACACGCGTGCAGTACCGTCGTGTACGAGTACAGATCGGGCGTGTAGTCGTACAGGTTCCTGCATCTCGTTGTAGAACTCGACAGCCTTGTGTGCGTAATAGTGCGACTTGGCACACGCATTCATTAACGTGTTGTACGTCACGAGCGACGGGGTCAAGCCGCACTCGAGAAGATCTTCGAGCAAGTTCAACGCGCGCTCGACACGTCCTTCGCGTGCACAGCCATGGATCCAACAGGTACACGCCACCTCATCCGGCTCATCCGCAGAGCTTGGGGCGTGATGCAGGTCGTTGGAGTGTTGTCGTGTGCATGGTCCGCGGTAACTTGAGGAATGAGGTCCACAAAGCGCCGAAACAGCCTCAGCGTCCAGGTCTGCGCACTCTTTCTTGCGTGCTCGACGTCTGATAATACAGGACGTCACTAGCACTAACACGATGCCCTTGTCGCACTCCGACCGTGAAGAAGCCGCGAGAGGAAGGAATTCGAT